ATGACGATGTCACATGACTGATGACGATGTCACATGACTAATGACGATGTCACATGACTGATGACAATGTCACATGACTGATGACAATGTCACATGTTACTGATGACGATGTCACATGACTGATGACGATGTCACATGACTGATGACGATGTTACATGACTGATGACGATGTCACATGACTGATGACGATGTCACATGACTATGACGAAGCCATATATATGACTGATGTCGAGGCCATATTACTGAAGCCTGAAGAGTATATCATGTATTAAACTGAAAAATATGAAAGAGAAACAATAAAAAACAATATATTTTAATATGACTAGTAAATATTGTTTTATGATATTAGAAGCATTTTAAACAATTAGATAAGCGGTTCCTATAGTAATTCTGAAGTCAGTATTAGGCCCTCAGCGGTCCACTGATTGATAAGCACCATGTCCGAAGACACGAAAACGAGGCTGCTGGCCAAATAAAACAATCATTTCATAGTTGACACGATTGTTCTCTTTACACTCACTCAATAAGAATAGCAAATGTTACTGATTTATTCTTGACCTGGCAGGCCTTGAGTAAATATGTCAAAATGATACTAGGAAACAAAATACCCATCATGCAGTTGAACATCAATACCATCTTCTTGTTGCTCTATATAACCACCCTAAACAAATAGTACAGTCAGTAGTCAAACACTTGAAAATACGATTAGCAGAAAGTACTGAGTGTCATTCGGAACTTCCGTCACAAACATGGCCGACCAAAATCAGCTCATAATCTCATGTTATTACCTCGTTTTCTTCGTCTTCTTTTATTGTTTGTTCAGTAATGACATAAAAAGAAATAAGACTTGCTTGAGTTAAAATACTTCAAAGAGAAGAATATCAAAGTAAATGAATGAATAGTCGTGCAGTTTATACATTCAAAGAATATGCGGGCGGGCGAGAAATATCGGTTAATTTGCGACCGTAATGAAGAAAAATCCTAATGATTATTGACACGTTTAATGTAGTCAGCTGCAGACAGCAGACAGCTGACATAGAAAAGTAATATTTAAATATAGAAAGACTTCACTCGTATTTGCTTTGGATATTCATTTGAAAAAAGATGAAAAGTTAAGGAAATAAAACTCTAGAAAATAGATTAAAGTCTCGTTAGCAAGCGTTGAGAATAACATATTTGTTCCATCTTTGAGGTGTGATGCTTGTAGCTGTATCATTCATTACGATGACCAAGAAACATCTGTAACTAGATAACAATTAATGAAAATGTACTAATTAGAACAGAACAATACTAGTGCAAAATTGAACAGAAAACCTCACGCATAACGGGTCAAGAGAAGAGATATCTCAGCTCGTTTGTAGTCGATATGAGTTCTCATGGAAAACGAGACAGTAAATATAAAGACGAAGAGAGACGAGGTCAAACAAAACACGAGGATAGCGGTGCCGTTACAACTAACCATCCTAATGGGACATTCAATAGACTACGCTATAATGAGACGTCTGCTCTGGGCCTGAAAAACACACCACCTGCACGCCATGAAAAAATACATGGGAAAAACAAATCAGTGTTATCTCCACCGCGACTGCCTTCAAGGATTCGAAGTGCTCCTTCATCTCCACTTCTATCACGGCAAAGACCACAAATCTGTAAAACATCTAGTCTAACTTCATTCAAACCGCTGAATAATAATGAAAACTACACAGAAAGTGGCAGTTCTGGGCGGCAAAACAGTACTGAACCTTCTACCCCTCCATTTTCGCCTGCTCTAAGGAGAAAGCTACAAAACACAGATCAAGTAGTGAAGGAAGCGAGGATGCGTATTGATGATTATCGTCGTCAACATCCTGGCAGTGCGTCTATTTCTAACACGACCGGCGTTGATGTGAAGTCTTTAGAAGAGGCTTTGAAGGAAGTACAGAATTGTAGATACTTGAGGGTAGTAGATAGAAATGACAGCTCTTAGTAACATTATCCTGTTAGCTGTACTAGTAAAACAACTTCACTTATAGAAAATCGGGTACACAACGAAAAATCGATATAAGTCTAGTCTTTTTATACGTAATTATACACCATTATAATCATATTAAACGTAATTATGTAATCATTATCATTATTATATCTATTTAATTGTAACTGTAACATTTACTAGCTTCTCTAGTAATGACGACATTGGGTAAACGACCAAAAAATTGTTAATATACATAATTATGATTATATTATACGTAATTATGTACTTCTTGCTAGTTTATTGATTATTATTAATTATCGTTACTATTAAACTAATTATTGTTAATGGCTGTCATTACTAGTGTTTCGCGGTGCGGAAGCTTCTTTATACTGTGCCTAGCTCACTATTCCTAAGCTAATCCAATATCTATTCCTTAATGAAGCAGACTGCAGTTATTTTACGAGATTGTCGTCACGTGTTGTACAAAATACGAATGCGTTACGTGTCACACAACTTACATGAATTGTTCACGTTACTTAGGCTACACAGCACAACAACAGTCTAAGAAATAGTCTATCTTCTAACTAGAATCTAAACTAACGTACCTCATCTTCCTTGATGACTACTTGGCTTCCATTTTCTCAATAAACTGCAAAACGTCCCTGACAAGCAAATCAGGTTCTTCAAAAGCAGCAAAGTGTCCGCACCGGGGCATCTCTGTGTACTGAACAAGGTTCTTGAAGGTTGAGGAAAGCCAGGGCTCTGGAGGGTTAAGTATTTCATGAGGACAAGCTGCTAGTCCTGTAGGTGTTTCTGTTGGGAAACTATCATAACGAAATATACATGGTATTAAAACGTTTCGCCACAGAGTAGCTAAGAATGTGGCTCAAAACATATAACAATGCATGGTTTCAAGAATGCTGGAGTTGATATTTAAAAACGTTTTTTTATTATCATTCAAACAAATGAACCTCATTCCTTTGGGTGTAATGTTACCCCATTTCAGGAGGCCGAATGTCATTCGCATGATTACTGTTTCTTTAGAACATTTTTCTTGGGGAGATGGGGGGGGGGAAGAGATAAAATAATTATCGGCATTAAAATGTGGCAAACATTCAAATACACCAAGCTAGAAATGAGTGTATTCTGTAAGAGTAGCCAATTAGCCCAGAGGTTCGTTATTTCAGGGTACCAATAACATTTGATTAGGTTTTTAAAAGTAGATTTAAACACTATATAAAGAGCACTATGATTGTCATACCTAGACATTRCWATTCCAATAGTCTCCTTATATAGCCTCATGGATGAAGTGATGGAGTTTGTAACCCAGTAGATCATGACATTGGTCAGTAACTCATCTTTTGTGAAATGAGACWCAAGGCATGATGAGGACTCATTCACATTACATCCAGYMCATAYGAAGAACTTTTCTACTAYGTATGCTGCTAATCCTGCTGGAGAATCATTCAGCCCCATACCAACAGAATCTGGTCTTGTAGCTGTTAAAAGAAATGTACCATGCTCTTTAGCTGGGCAGGACCTTTGCCAGGGGTGGTTTGRAGGTGTGAACAAACACTTCCTGCTTTCCCTCTCCCTCTATTCAATCTGTTRCTTAACATCCATGAAATGGCAATACCCCCCTTTTMCAAAATYCWGGTGACAGGCATGCTTGGCCAAAATGTATTTCCATTTCAGACCATGTGTCATTCCTATCAAGTAACATTCTTTGTTACAGAAATAGCGCTTAAAAGGATAATTTGATAGCATGCATTCCCATTAAAATTACCTTGTATATGAAAATAACCAGTTTCACGCAGCATTTTAAAGAAGAAATTTTTTAAAGGAAAAATTTTCTTGTGCTCTTTTGGTGGCAACAAGAAATATCCAGTGAAGTACGACAATGGACCATAAGGTGCTTGGGTGGGAAACATGTTAAGATGAATACCTTTAACTCTTCTAAAAAAGAAAACAGAAATATAATTTCATAGATTGAAATTTAGAAATGTGTTGGGCCACTTCATGTAAATATGCTATGTATGTAAGATATGCAGTACATCTAAGTATGCAAAGTCTTATAACAGTTTTCAAAACTGTCCTTATTTTACAAGGGTAACAATTCAAGATGGAAGAAGGGAAACTGAAAAATCCTAAGAAAAAGCCTTTAAGCACAAGAGAGAACCAGCTAGCAATTCTAGGGAGTCTGGTGATGGCAGGGGTGAAACAGGGGTGGATCTAGGGGAGAGGTGCAGAGAGTTTGCCCCTCCTGAGTTGATAATTTTCTAGTCAGCTAATTTCTTGATGCAAACCCTCGCTAGCTTTGTTTTTGATTATGTAAAATGCCTTATTCTGTTACAATTCCAATTTTTTCTCAAATCCATCAATGCTGGACCTATTTATGGGCTTCCTGAGCAATTTGAAAATATGACGAATTTGTTTACATCATCCTTTATTCACTGAATTCATTAAATGTGTAGGTGGTGCATTTTTTCCACAATCCCTTGTTCCCCTCCCACCTCCTCCCCATTTCCCAGCACAAGGGTCTGCTATGCTGGCTATTAATAGGAAGAAAAATTGTGTTAGATCTGTCCTTTTCTTGGTTGCACAAACATATTAAAAACACAGCAAACATTGTTTCCTRCACATAGTTCTCAGCTTTTATTTAAAAAAAATGTATTTCATATGAGCACGGAAGCATGGGTGGTGTGCGCTGCTAATGTGCTGCCTCTCACCAATGTGGGTCGGTGTCCACTGGTAGAACGAAGCTTGGGATTGGGCAAAATAACAAAAACAAAGAAAGCAAGGATTATGGTGAACAATGTGTATTGTTCTACATATGAGCTGCGTTCTTTGTTTTATCTCACCATTCATTGTTTGTTCATCCACTCCCAGGCTTCGTTCTGCCTGTTGTGTGTTACCCACCAATGCGGCCCAAGTTCAAGTCCTGCCGATCTCAGTGTTGAATGTGAGAAGAGTTGTTTGTTGGTTCTCTCCAGTTTTCCCCCCTCCTTAAAAATCAACTTCTAAATTCTAATTCAATCTTTGGGCTTTTAACTAGTTGGAGCCTAGCTCTGTTGTGATTGTCCCATGCGTTGATACAACAGCCAAAGCTTAATAGATAGATTCATATAGTTTAACATTCATCATACCTCTTATCAATATAAGCCATGTATCTTGCAAYASCTGAYCCCCAGTCTCCTCCTTGCACATAGTAGCTTTCATGTTTTAGTCTGGCCATAAGCTTGACAAATATCCCAGCAGCATTTAGTGCACTAAATCCTTGCTTGTGGGGAGCTTCAGAAAACCCATAACCAGGRATGGATGGGCATATTATCTCATAAGCAAAGTCCTCTGAACCTTTCATTAGCCTTGGCATGACTTTATAAAACTCAAAGAAAGATCCAGGCCAGCCATGTATAAACATTATASGAATTAGTTTCTGGCCCTGTTTGACCTGTGGTTTTACGTGCCAAAAGTGGACCTTGATCCCTTCAATTTTGGTCTCGAAGTTTGCGAAAGAATTAATAATTTTTTCTTGAGYTTTCCAGTCAAACTTTTCAATCCAATACTTGACGAGCTCTTTCATGTATTTCTGATTTGATCCATATTCCCATTGAACACCTTCCAGCGTTTCGAAGAARCGTGTTTTTGATAGYCTTTGCTTGAGGTCTGCAAGGACGTCATCACCAACAGTAATGGTAATCTTGTTGATAGTTTCGTCTTCAGCTTTCTTCTCTCCCTTACCCCACCAGCCATCTTGTATTGTTGGGAGTTYTCCAGTACCAGAGAATGCATAATACGCGCCTATGGAAATCAAGGCAGCGATAATGCTTAGTACAAGAACAATCACCTTCAACGACATGTTACTTTTTGCTAACTTCTGCAGAGAAATACAGGCGTTCCCCGCGGACGCCCCTGAAAATGGGCGGRRAAATTGGTAGGTGGGGGAGGGGTGGGTAAGAAATATCTGCTTAAATAGACTGTCGAACAAACTCTAACATTAAGGCCATTTGCTCATGCTGTAGTCATTATAGGCCTAAGAAACTGTCCAGAAATTAAAATCAGCTATCAGTTATAGTTATTAGTTGTAGTTAGTTATTGAGAAGCGGGCTCGTCCTATCCCAATCCCCAGGGTCTCCCGCAGGAGAGTATGGCACAGGACACTGACTCTGCAAATAGACTGCTCAGATTCAAGTAACGTTGGGCAATAACTAGAAGATGGCTAACTACAACTTGGTTTACTTCGATCTTAGAGGACGAGGAGAGAGCATAAGAATGGTTCTTGCTCTTACGGGAGTAAAGTATACTGAAGAACGAGTAACTATGGAAGGATGGCCAGAAATCAAATCAAGTRTTATATAAGAAATTCTTCGTACTACTCGCAGATCGGACCTCAACTATTTACATAGGATGGTCCGGTGTGGAAAATGTTGGGCCTATATCCTGTGTAACATATTTTATACAGCACAGCGTACATCATAATACGAAAAAACAATATCAGCTTTACAATATATAGAACCAAGGGCGCTGAGACAGACGGATTTGTTTCAGTTATTCGTAGATACTGTTACTAGTAAAACACTGAGATCGCACTCCACTTACGTTATAATTATTAGCGTAACTTGCTGGTATACAGGGTTCAAAATATTTTTTTGAAAAAATGCTGAGTTGTGCAGGCTTTTTTTGGGGTCTGGCTCCTGTTTTTTTGCAGGCTTCTGCCATTCTAATTATTTGAGGGGAAAAAAACTGATATTTGCATATTTCAAAAACAATTGAAATTTAAGGCTTGGCTACAAGCTTCAAAAAATGCCAGATTTTTACGAACGTYGCTGAAAACATCATCAGCAGGGACTCAAAATGCTTGTTTTCTTCATCCAAAAGTTCGTAATCTTAGCATTTTTTTCTCCCTTTTTTTACAAAATTGCTGGCAAAGACACTGAAACTTCCAGCTATCTCTGGTAGCCRGCTACTATTTTGAACCCTGGACATATTAGTGTTATTACAGGGCCGTAGGAGGCATTGAAAAACTGAATGAATGAAAATCAATATTTAATGACATTAACATTACTTATTTGGAATGACTTAATATTGTAGTGTATTGGCCAATATGGATATTACACTACTATAGCCCTGTGATGTATTATTATTATTAATGCTCATTACAAATCAAAAAAGATAAAACATCTTCAAGGAGATTCTGTGTGTGGAGGTTGACTCTGGAGCATTCTGATCAACAACTGATTCAGAKGACAATTTTCTGCTAAACCTAATCCACTTCTTTACAGGACGGGAGATCCAGATGTCATGTATATATAGGCACAGTATATGAAAAGATAACAATTGATTTTTAATTTGAGGTTTGAATTTTTCAGGTGGCAGATGTCCCTTTGCACAGTTACCCTTATTAGAGCTTGGCAATGGGCGTGTTCTCAGCCAGTCTGTTGCAATACTCAGGTTTCTTGCTCTGGAAAATGATAAGTTAAAAGTTTCAAGCAATTGTGATTTATCAATGTAAAGGATAACAATTAACTAGATTGTTATATTATCCATACTTAATTAGAGACTGAACTGCTGCTGCTAATACTAAAGCCAGTTATTTTGTTTGTATTAGCTACTTTTTTCACTCTTTTTTGAATGCTGGTACCCTGCGAGCAGAGTCTCCTTTTAACTCCTCTACAGGTGAGAGGAGTTAAAAGGAGACTCTTCTCAAGGGGTAACATGCTGGAGGATGTACTATAGATAGACCTAAACCTTTCTCTAATCAGATTTACCACTCCAGGCTTTGGTACAGTTGAGAAACAACACTTCTTTTGCTCTGTGTGGTTATTTTTTAAATTTAGCCCGTTTTAAGGATTTTTCCCTCACTGGTGGGGGAAAAATCCTTAAAACAGGGTAAATTCACAAAATAATTAAACAGAGCGAAAGAAGTGTTGTTTCTCAATGACTGGGTATAAATTTYGAGGCTTTATTTCACGCTTCAATTGTTGAAATTTTTGATGAATCCCCATACATTTCCTTATAACATGACACCACAGAAATCAAGCTTGGGCTACCTGAGAGCTCACTATTTCTAAGCTAATCCAATATCTATACCTTAATGAAGCAGACTGCAGTTATTTTACGAGATTGTCGTCACGTGTTGTACAAAATACGAATGTGTTAC